GGAAAGATTGAAGGTCGTAAGTATTGCAGAAATTTTTGGCCAACCTAATAGTTATTTGTTATAAATAACAGGTAAATAACAAATAACTTTTTTCCTGAAAATTCTGCTAGCTTCATATCTTGATTGAACCATCTAAATCAGTAGTAGAGATATAGAAAATTCGTTCCAAAATATAAGTTTACATAACGGACACAATTAAAATATACAATGGGGTGAGAAAAGATGTTTTTCAAAAATGAAAGTTATTTGTTATTTATCTGTTATTTATAACTATAACAAAAAAACATTATTGTTATTTGTAACAATAACAAAGAATTCTCACCCCTAGTTGAAACTAGAAGTTAAAACACTACAAAGAATGGTGAGATATCGTAAGTCGAAGACTTTTCAATTCATGTTGTATTATACATAGATTAAGCTTTTGAAAGCCATTATAGATATATCCAAATATTGAAAGATGAGTTTTCCAAATGTGCTAAGTATTTTCTTATTTATTGTACATGATAGACTTTAGTTAAATTTACGGCTTCAATATTCGCAACAAAATTATTGAAACACGCTGAATAATACAGAGAAAGACTCGCTCCTTTCACTTAACATATTGAAAGAAAAATCTTTCTCTGGAACTTCGAATATCTAAATAACAGGAAGGGGTAATTTTCCATCGCCAATATTCCTGCTCGCCAACAGTCGTTTTGCCAATGGGCGAATTTCTCCACGAAATCTGCCAATTGGCGAGTTTCACCACGAATTTCGCCATTGGCGAAACTACTGGTGGCGAAGAGGAATATTGGCGACGTTACATAGACTCAACAGGAATATGAATCTCCATAGAATGTAAAAAATTTGATCTTCGCGAAACATCACTTTGATCGACATATGAATATTTTGCACTGTGGCATGAAACTGACTCAAAAATAGTACTTTTGGCTGAAAAGTCACGGATCTTGGTAATATTTTTCGCGGAAAGTTTCATTTCGACATTTTGTAAATAGATACTAAATTCATGGACTGTGTAAAGTTTTAAAATCTATTTTTTGAAAAGCCAGTCAGATTAAAAGGTGCGGAAATATAAGAATTTCAAGTTCGCAACTTCTGGATCCCAAGAAATCTGATTTGATGTCCCTTACACTGAGTCAAAAACTACAATATTTAGTAAATTTTATGACTAACACATCAGTTTGTTAGACTTTAATATTTTTCAAATAGACGTACTCTTCTTCCAAATGAACGACGTGGAAACCATTTATATCAAACGTTTTGGTTTTTACACGCAAGCGAGTTCCTGGCATAAGAACGATTTCTTTCTCTCCTACCTCCCCTTTATTCGCTGATGAGTAAGCACTAATGTCTTTCCCATTAATAGTATTAATGCAAAACAGAGTGCCCTTCTCGCATGTAAAGAGTGCAGCGACGCTGGCATCTAACGAACATGAGTTCACACTCCACCAAGTGAACATATCATTTTCATAGTAATCGGAGCCACTAATGTTTGCAACACCTCGCCATACCGTAGTCGGATGTGATGGTAGTTTCGCTAAAGCGGTAATGAACAGTTTTAGAAAGTCGAACCATGGTATCAGCGTGGGTGGATTTTCATCTCGAAGAGCTTCGTTGAGTTTCTCATAGAAAGGTGTAATCATTGTGTAAAGATAGATTGCTGCCGATTCATTTATTGTTAGCTTTGTATCTTTTTTACATTTTTGTTTAGCTTCCTCGGCATACTGCATGACTCTGTCGACGGATGCAAAGATACTTTCTACAGCTTCTTCTAATGACTTAATATCCCGATCTTTATAACCAGATATTGGATTCCAATTATCTTGTTGTAGTTTTGAAATATAATTATCCACAAAGCGTCCGCTTCGTGTGAATGCCATTTGTTATGCTGGTTGATCACTGATTTCCTATAATGAATAGACTATCTAAATACGAGATGAACTATAGTTCTTCGATGACGGCATTATCTTCATCCATATCATTCATCAAATTCATAGTAAGAAGGATGGGTGGGTGTGAGTGGTGAGTGAGAGTGAGGGTGAAGGTATATATGTGTGTGAGTGTGGTTGAGAGCGTGAACTTGTCCGATTAGATGGAAGTGTATGAGGGTGTGGGTCGAAGTATCGACTCTTCTTTTTTTCTGACCACCCATATCTGAGAGTGGTGCTTTAACTTTACTTGGCTGAGCGAAGTAAAACTTCAGTATTTAACTTAACTTTACTTTTTTAAAAGAAAATCAAAGTTAAGGTGTCACCCACACGCAAAATGCTTTATTTCTGGACGCCAGAATGTAATCAAATTCCTGTCATTGCCGCGATGAGATTTTTAAAATATCAAATGATTCTGACCGACTGACATCAATCGTATGTGTCCGAACGTGCTATACTGAAAATTTGTGTGAAAGTATTAAGCTCGAATGGTACTCAGTTACATCTCATCGTCAATAGATGTTTGTGTAAACGACATTGTTCGTTGTAAAAATGACAAGAATATAGAATAAAATCAACTAACCTTATGAATTGAAGTAACGAAGATTAATATAATGTTTTGAAAGATTGAATATAAAAGAAAAACAAATGAATGAGTTGAGTTGTAAAAAGTTTTGCTACAGAGAAAACGATATCTTTATCTTTTTTTCGTTAATGTTTCACAGAGATTATTTTTCTTTGTCTTTTTTCTTTGTTCTTCTTCAACTGATAAATGACTCTTATCAATGGGTGAAACAAAACTTCACTATTTAAGAGAGCCAAAAATGTTGGAAAAAAATGGTTTGTAACGTAAAAAAAATGATATTAGGATAAGGGTGTCTCATTTCTTAATTTATTCACCTAGTCACTCACTCATACACCTCATATCCACACACCCACATTCGCAATCTCAATATAGTCGAGTTTCAATGTGATGAAAGATTTACTGAGAGATATATAACAATATTGACTGTATTGCTTAAAGACCTTACAAGTTATTTTTGGTGGATGTGGGTGTGAAATGAAAAAGAATACTTCCACCTACACCCTCAAAAAGTGAAATGTTATATATTGTTCTGACATTCATGAATTATGTAATGTTCTATTGTTGTTCTTTCTCTGCTTGTAACAATTAAACTCAAGGTAGTGAATAAATGTCAACTTGCACCAGAAAGATAATTGATTGAAAACAAATTAGTATCGAGCATCAATCGAAGCTGCGGGTAGGGTGCAGGTACGTGGATATTATGTTTATATCTCACATCCTAAAGCTTTATCTCATTTATAATCGAGCATTGGCTGCTGTGGGATGTTTGTCACAGTGCCCCGCAATGTTAAAAAAGATTAATCTTTGAGATTCGAGCCGAACACGTCAAATACAGTTATTTGTTCTGAAATCGAAAAACCAATTATAAAAGATAATTCTTTATTACATTTTTTTCAGGAAATAAACACTTCATTTTTCTGATGAGATGTTTTATTGAGATTAGTAACTTACAATAGAAGTTTACTCCACAATAACAAAAACTTGGAAAAAAATGCATTGTTTAAATATTTACACAGATTTACGACATTTATTTGTTTATATGATAGTATAGTTACTTTCTGTTAATGTACAGTTGAGTAAATCAGCCGTCATGATTTCTGATAAAAATACGTTTTATTTCCCTACGAAAGGTCTTTGATACTAATAAATTCGTGTAGCAGCCAATAGAAGTCTCCATGAAAAACAC